TGTACAACAAATGATGCTTTTGACCACAAAGTCGTACCTGAGGGCACCCACGTCGATGCTTATCCAAAGGTCGAGACCGTCATCAATGGATCCACGTGGACGGGGTATGGTGTCTCAAAATTTGTGGATGGCAGACCAGTTGGACGTCCAACAACGCTAAAGGATGTGGATGATGACGAGTTCGATATTCCGCCTATGTTTGACGACACAGCTTACCACTCTGCACAAATCCCTGATCTACGTGCGGGGGACAGCGAAGCAGAAGTCCATGAAGGTAAGATCTATGCTAGCAAATCGGACTATAGGATTGCCCTCGCCTTGTATGCAATCAAGGGCCAATTTCAGTTTAAACAATATCCCACAAAAAGACAATATTTTGTTGTCAAGTGCGTTGACGAACAGTGCGATTGGAGGGTTATGACCCACGAGATGAAAGACTGTGGATACTACGAAATCAGGAAGGCTCAGCTGGAGCACACCTGTTGTGTGGACACTCGAAATGCCTTTAAGAAAAAGGTTTCAATAAGAATTATAGCTGCAGTTTTCAAAGCCAAATTCGGCGATCCTGCTAATGGACCCCGAGCATCGGAGCTTCAGAGACTGGTGCTCGAAGAGCTTCGTTGCTCTGCTTCCTACATGAAATGTCACCGCGCCAAGGAAATAGCCATCACCGAAATCAGGGGTTCTGATGATGCGTCCTATACTGCCCTTCCGAAGTATCTATATATGCTAAAATTGGCGAATCTGGGCTCAGTGGTGAATTTGAAGACCGTAGTTGATGAGTTTGAAGTCGAACGCTTCCACTATCTTTTTCTTGCTTTTGGTGCCTCCATTTCTGGTTTTCATAAACTCAGGCATTTCATTTTCATAGACAGGACTAATCTGACAAGCAAATTTAAGGAAGTTCTTCTTACCTCCTGTGGCCAAGACATTAATGTCCAGGTCTTTCCTCTCGCGTTGGGGTTGTAGAATTAGAGAACGACAAGTCTTGGACATGGTTCCTTCAAAATTTGGAAACAATTCTGGCCGACAGTCCCAATCTCACAATAATATCAGATAGACATCAGTTGATATACAAAGCCAAGTCACGGGCCTACCCTCTAGCAAAACACGGTGCCTGTATAGTTCATCTCGAGCGAAACGTCTCTGCCCGATTCCACAGCAAGGGATTAGGGAAACTCGTTGGACAGGCAGCATTCGCTTGGAGGATCTGTGATTTCAGGAAGTTCTTCGACCAGGTCAGAGCCAGTTATAGTGAATGCGCGCTGTACTTAGAGAAAATTGGCATCGCCCATTGGTCATGAGCATATTTTCAGGGGCAGCGGTACAATCTAAAGACTAGCAACGTGGCTGAACAACTCAACAATGCATTGATCGAGGGAAGGGGGTCCCCGATTGTTGAACTCATCCAATTCATCCAGGAGATGATGACTAGGTGGTTTGCTGCTCGTAAGAAGAAGTCACTGAGGCATCGAGGTAACGTTCTCCCAGAGGTGGACAAGGTAATAACGGAGCAGATGAAAGAGTCCAAAGGGAGCAAGATCAATGCTGTATCCAGCTGGAGCTGTCAAGTTGTTGGCCGTTTTGGCGACACCAACCATGTTTGGTTGCACGTGAAGCGATGCTCGTGTAAGAAATTCGATTGCCTCAAGATTCCCTGTGGTCACCCGTTACTGGCGGCGGACACTTTTGGATTGTCCTCCACTTCGTTGGTTGGTGATGCGTTAAAGATGGCCACATGGGCTGCCACATACACTGGCACTATCATTCCCGCAGGCGAAGCCGCAGACCAAGATATCTCGGACTCCGTCGCCAAGATGTTATTAATGCCGCCGAGAACCAGAAGACCCTCTGGTAGACCCAAAGAAAACCGTCACGCATCCACAAGAGAGTTCCCAGTAAGTCAGTCCACTATACTCGAACATTCCCTTTGTACAGTTGTTTATGGATGCCAAGACATGGACGAGATTGCAAATCGTTTGTGTGTTCCTATTTTATAGGCCGCGAGGAACAAGAAAGCTGTGCCGAATAAGTGTGCACATTGCTAACAATCAGACCATAATCGCACCAGATGTACCAACCCAGTATGAGCTTGGTTTTGCTTGTATTCACCGACTAGCTTATTGAAGGATATCCCGAAAACCATCGTCTCTTTTGCTACCTTTTTTGTCGCATCCCGTCTGTCTTGACTTATCTTATTTTGATTGTAAGGCATATTTACATGTCCACTAATCAACATCCATCGGGTATGTGTGTTATGCAAACAAATTTTTAACTACTCTAAAGACTTAGTTTGCTACTTACATCTTTAAGCATTTCTTTTCACTTTGTTTTCAACACATTCGTAAATGTTGTAATAATCCCTTTCACCACGATCGTCATTTTGCCTACAATTTTCTTACTGCCCACATAACCACACCCACACAACTTATAAATAATCTCATAAAGTTTCGCTTCATACATCATCCCACCCATAATATCCCATCCATACTAACCCATCCATACTAAATCATCCATACTACACCATACATATCTCCGCATCCATAGTGCCCATCCACACCGGCCCATCAATATTGTGCCATCTATCCTGCACCATCCATACTGTCCCATTCACAGTGATCCACCCAAGTCAGAGCAATAACACTGACTTCATTTGCATGAAAAGTACAAACGGTACGTTTCACATTTAGACAACTAGGACTTCATATCAAGAGCCTACCAATTTTCATTATCTTCTCCTTGCCGCCATCCAATTCGTCATTCTATACAAGGGTACCTGCTCATTACATCTTTTGTTTGACAAAATCTAACCCTTCTAGTTGTTGTCCTCAGTACAACGTTGCTCGCAACGATGCCTTTCAGTTACGCTCTTAGTTCCTCATCCAGGACTAGTATTAGCTCAAGCAGTCGCCGTCACGATTACCATGGCATACCATCTCGGTGCTTTTGTGGAGGTCTGGTCTTAATTCAGATGGATCATACTATAACGAATCCCAACAGGAGATACTATTCATGCTAAAACTTTTTGGTAAGCCAATAAATCTCTGTCAATTCCACATATATCACGCGCATGTCAAACCTGAACACTCGATATGTCAGGATGGTGGTTGCCACATGTGGAAGTGGTGGGACGAAGCTATAAACGAGGAGATCAATGATCTGAAGTTCGCCACTGCAGCTCTGTCTGCAAGTAAACGCACTGAAATCCAAGCAGCAGACCAGATCAAGGTTTTCCTATCAGATTCACTACAAGTTGAAGAAATGCACAGCAATCTCGACAAGGTACTCAGTGAAATAGAAGTTCTTAAAGCTTAGAAAAACCCTCTTCAATTCTCTTTAAAATCGATTTTTTCAATGCACATCAACGACCCAACATTGTTATTGGTAGCTGTTATATCCGCGCTTTTGGAAGGGTTAATCTGATGGTTCTCTAAGTAAGCAGGATCAACGACCCCCAATTCAATCCGAGGAGATGTATGTACTATCCACGACTATTGAGCGGTAGATAATGTTCACATCTTTCTTTATCCATTCATCTTTACTTGTCCACAATTTTGTGCTAGACAATGTCCATAATTATGTGTCTATTTATGTTCTACAATTATTCACCAAATTAATCGTCACGATAATTTCACGTTCATACACTCATCCACCAATTATATCGTCTCGTCAATCATATGCCCACCATACAATATCATCCTTCCAGTTCCATACGCTCCTAACATCCATCGTCTTCAATCTATCCCCTAACATCCATCGTCTTCTATCCATCCCCTAACATCCATCATCTTCTATCCATCCACATATACACTTTCACTGGCATACATCAACTAACATCCGTTGACCTGGAAGCTTCGACTCCTAACGATTGGGTATTGGTTCATAAGAAGCATCGTCTACATACCATCAAGAATGTATCATCAACTACGCATCGTCCAAAACATATGTTTATTTGTTCTCCACTCTTATGCATCCACAGAGTCGCATCCACAAAGTCGCATCCACGTTGTCGAATCCACCTTCGCATCCACATATTCGCATCCACATATTCCTCGTTGATGGTCGACGATATCGCTTTCTACAATTAAGAGTCGGTGTGGATGTCCCCATCAATTCCACATATATCACGCGCATGTCAAACCTGAACACCCGATATGCCAGGATGGTGGTTGACACATGTAGAAGTGGTGGGACGAAGCTATAAACGAGGATATCAATGATCTGAAGTTCGCCAGTACGGCTCTTTCTGCAAGTAAACGCACTGAAATCCAAGCAGTGGACCAGATCAAAGTTTTCCTATCAGATTCACTACAAGTTGAAGAAATGCGCAGCAATCTAGACAAGGTACTCGGTGAGATAGAAGTTCTTAAAGCCAGGACAAACCCTCTTCAATTCTCTTTAAAATCGAATTTTCCAAAGCACATCAACGACCCAACATTGTTATTGGTAGCTGTTATATCCGCGCTTTTGGGAGGATTAATCGGATGGTTCTCCAAGTAAGCAGGAACAACGACCCCCAATTCAATCCGAGGAGATGTATGTATTATCCATGATTATTGAGCAGTAGATAATGTTCACATCTTTCTTTATCCATCCATCTTTACTTGTCCCCAATTTTGTGATAGACAATGTCCACAATTATGTGTCTATTTATGTTCTACAATTATTCACCAAATTAATCATCGCGATAATTTTCACGTTCATATGCTCGTCCACCAATTTTATCGTCTCGTCAATCACATGTCCACCATACAATATCATCCTTCCAGTTCCATACGCTCCTAATATCCATCGTCTTCTATCCATCCCCTAACATCCATCGTCTTCTATCCATCCACATATACACTTTCACTAGCATACATCAACTAACATTCGTTGACCCGAAAGCTTCGACTCCTAACGAATGGGTATTTGTTCATAAGAAGCATTGTCTACATACCATCAAGAACGTATAATCAACTACGCATCGTCCAAAACGTATGTTTATTTGTTCTCCACTCTTATGCATCCACATAGTCGCATCCACATAGTCGTATCCACGTAATCGCATCCACGTAGTCGAATCCACCTATTCGCATCCACATATTCGCATCCACATATTCCTCGTTGATGGTCGACGATATCGCTTCCTACAATTAAGAGTCCACAACTATCCCTTATACTAACTACGTCCACATTACCCCTATTACATACTATATTAATAAAAATATTTCACAAAATAAACAAAGGAGAAATAGCAATAGCTCCTAACTTAATTAATGTAACATTACAATCAGCTTTTTTTCTAGCCATTTACAACAACCCACAACCAACGGTACTGGCCGTGAACAAAAAAAGATGGCTCATAAGTTCTTCAAAACAACACCTACATCTGTGGGCCACTGCTAACCATCGACGGCCTAAGACTGTCGAGTAAACAGAAAATTACTGGCCTTTTAGTTCCTAATAGGCAGCCACATGCCCCATCAAATCATTGTCTTACCAAATACAAAAACACATACAACATTACCCCCTATGGCCAACACTACCTTCTTCGTACAGTGGAAGCACCAATTTCTTGTACAGGTCCATAGCGTATTGCCTCCGAAAATCATTAACCATCTCGTCAGTTATTCCACTCATATGCGGCGCAGGATCCCCAAGAACGTGCATTTCCATAAACTTCATTGCAACTGGACCGCAGTCCCCGCTTCTCTTGTTGATGTACACATTCTGCACCCTATGCCACGTAAACGGCGATGGATCTGCGGGTTGAGAAGGGTGCGATGAGCAAAGGTTGCGGATGATATGCGGTAGGAACTCAAGTACGGGGTCCATGATTTTATCAACATGCTTGTCATCTTTCCACATGGGATCTGGGTCAAGTATATGCACCCATTGTATTTTCAGGTCAATCACAAGCCCCACCAAATGCTTCGACAGCCATATCATTGGCATGTACACAGTGTCCACATCGGCGATCCATGTTTTTCCTGGAGCTGGCACGAAGTGTCGGAGCCTGTCATCCCACCTGTAAGCCTTCTTGTTTCTTATGGATTTCCATGATCGGTGTTTAATGTCGATCGTGTCCATTAGCCAAGGGGCAGCAAAGCAAGCACATTCCTTCTCAAGATGCTCAGCGTGTTTCTCCCCCACAAAGGACATCAACAATTCAATATGCTGCATTCAAAATCAAGAGTTAGTTCATCTTGACAGATAACTCTCCATAATTACTGGGGAATACAAAACATTGTAGATGAACTGTGGAAGATATACTACCTATGGATGGTTACATACAATAACCTAATGGATGACAAATGGATGACAAAATGGACGACAAATATGGATGACAAATGATGACGACTAAATAATGACGATTAAATAATGATGACAAAATATGGATGACAAAATATGGATGACAAAATACGGATGACAAAACATGCACGACAAAATATGGACGACATATGTGGATGGCCAAATACAGACGACAAAAGATGGATGACATATCATGGATGACTCAAAAATAGAATGAATTTGATATACTAACTAATAACAAACTATGAGTGACAACGATCACAGAGAGAAAACAATCATTCTCAAAACATATCGAAGTTTCTATTTCGAAATTAGATGGACGTATAAATCAGAATATCGGACGATCTACCTTTGTGTTCACCCAGTTCATAGGTTTCTCCAGGCCAAGCAGGAAGTTGTTGTTGTTCTCGATCCCCATGCGCGTAAGGTGTTTCCTGCGTTTTTAAAAATCCAAGTAATTGGTTGGGATGAAAAAAAGTTCAATATATAATGACGATGGAAATCGCAGAATCAGGTTGCGTAGATTACACATAGCCACACGAGTCAAGCGTTCGCTCGAATTGCTTCCATATGTCAACGTCTAATGTGGGAAGGATACTGACTGGTGCCCTGCTTTGTTTCGCTAGCAATGTTAGTGCAAGCTCCCTTTCCACTTCAGTAGGCTTGTGTGTAGTTGATTCTGACACAGCTGAACAATCACTAATACAGATTGTATCAACATTCGTACCAGCACGGCCTGGCAATCTACTGGACCTGTACATTACTTTATTAAAACACATCCAAAAAATCATCATTTGGGGATCAATAAATGTTGACGCCAATAACCTGTCTCTCTGCAGTCTCCTCAAGATCTTTCAAGACTGAACCAATTACTGTTCCTGGAGATTTTTCATCTACCCTCCGGGGTGGAGTCAATGCAGTGGCCACCCTTGGTGTTCCCGGTGTCGACTACAAAACACGCACTACTTGTTAGACACCCCCATGACAAATATGTAGCAAAAAGAAACGGTGACTACATGTACCTTCTTACCACTGGACGACCGACTCTCCACCTCCACTGCCTGTACGGGGGAAGAGGCTAGAAAATGGTCAGCGAAAGCATGCTCAGACTTGGTTTCAGCGGCAATTTTCTCCTCCGCAAGCTCAGCTGGAGGGGTTTTATCAGAAGTCTCCTGCAATTGAAAATGTTATTAGAATATGCAACAACTTATGGATAGGTATCGCGTGGACGGTTTCGCGTGGACGGTATCGCGTGGACGGAGGATTTAAAAGTCTACGATAGTAAACCACCGAAGTTAAGCGTTAGCATACAGGCGCCAACGGAAAATTATAAGGTTATGAGTGTTACCATATTTGCAGCAGCCTCCCCATCAGACGTCAGTAATACCTCGTCTATGGAGCCAATTATATTAGATTTCTCCCCGACGTCACTTCCTCCCATACCTACCTCCTGCTTGGTTTGTCCATATTTAGAGGACAAGTGATTTATCAGGTCGATGATAATATGTGAGTTTATAATAGACGGGGCGAAAAAACGATAATAACTTACCTTATCACCCATCTTTAACTCTTCTTTCTCTTCCCTCTCATTCCTGGATGGAGAAATGCCCCTTTTTCTCTTAAACGCACCCTCTTTTTTCCCAACCGAACTTAGCAATCCACCCATCTCGCCGCTTTCCTGTGACCTATCTTCTACCTTCTCCGGAGATAGGTTAGGCTCCTCCATCCAATCGCGGGGCAACTTAGTGCCTTCTTTCAAACTAACCTCAAAAGAGAGTGAAGCCATGTTTCCATCTCCATCATCGGTCTGCACACGAAAATAGGCACATTTAATACTTATTATTAAAATTTTTGTATCAAATTTCCAAAAAGCATATAACAACCACACAAAGTCATCCACAGTCAAACAACATTATGGATTGAAAACTATGGATGAGTAACGGGTGTAACAACCATCCAAAAAACTTCATACACAGACAATAAGGACAAACACATAACGAATAACATATGACCTTAACCACATGCGAATATGGATGATGCACCCCATTTATACACTATCGAATTACCTCGTTTTTTTTCCTTAATTGTTTCCTGCGCCTGCGGTTTTGCATCTTCCTAGCTGAAAGGAAAAGCTGTGACGAACGTTGCCTCGTTTCAACACCTCGTCTGACCTTCAAAATCCTCTTCATCTCATATTGCTGTTGCTGCAGTTTTTTAATGTCTTCACACCTCTCTTTCATCTCCGCCATCAGCCACTCCAATTGATTCACCTTGGGATCGTTCTCCACTTCGATTATATCATCCATCGAAATGGGTCTGTGTCTGGGACTGTCCTCATTTCTAATTTCCAACAACGGAGTTTCGTCCGATATATTAGGTAGTTTCGCAGCTAGAAGAGGTATCGCTCTATACGCAATTATCTGAAGAATCAGTGGGAAGCCCGTCACCCGCATTAATCCCGTCAATAGTTGATCACAGAACACCTTGTTAGGATCATTATGTTTACCATTGCGCAGCGGCCTCGTCGTGATAATAGTGTGGAAGAAAGACTCTTTCCCCCAAGGGAATCTCAGAAACGATTCCATGTCATCGAGCATCCTAGCGTATTTCGGTGTAGGTCTGTGGATCGCTGCACTCGCAATGAGGACGCTGTCAACTATCGTAAAAAGCGCCAGCTGTATCCTTCTCTTCGGTGGCATCTCCGGATTCGCTCTCAGCTCATCGACTAAGTCTCCAATTGTAGTGTGAATTGAGTCCCCAATTATCTTTCTCTATAAAACGCCTGGCTCTCGTGGGTGTTTCTCCATCAAATTTGGATCATAATTCTCGGGATAGTCTCCACACAGGAGTCCATATATGCTACCAAAATCAAAAAGACTGAATCTTAAGGGATGTCCACCGTACACCGTCCACATCTTGTACTTGTTCTTCGACAAAAGCTGCCTCGTCAACATAGCGTGGACGAGCTTCACAGAGTTCTAGCATAAACTCGCCAGAAAATCGAATAAGACCCCAAAACACGTAGAGCGGATGAAGTCGAACTCCGGTGAATCGCCGAGTATCTCATGAATAGTTGTAAGCAAGTCAGGTTTTGAGTAGATATTCACCCTCGCATCCGGGAACCGATCTGTCGCAAACAACCGTGGCGGCAGCTTCGCGTCATGAGTATAATTCCCGTCTACTTCTGCAACATCGAAACAAGATCGAAACAACTAGAGATTCGCCCCCAAACATAACTCCGGGAACTTCAGTAGTTGAGAATCGGAAACTAGTCATAATCAAAAATTAGAGGTTACCCAGATTTACAGTTTCCAGCGTCGTCATCACCAACACCAAAGACAAAGGGATCTCCGAAATTGATTATAGATCCGCCGTCACAATGTGCAGTTAGGGTTCGTCTACGCCGCAGTTATGATTTCAGATCTATCTCCGACCCAGTAATTTTGTTAGTTTTTACATGTGTAAAATATTATCCAAAAATCTTAGAGAAGAAGCTAAGGTAAGGGCATACTCGTCATTCCATCACTTAGAAGTACTCCAGTTGTTGTAAGTGCTTTTTACTGAAATAACTAACGCCAAAGTACCTTTTTCCGTTAATAACTCTATAAACTAGGTATATATATAACTCGTGCTACGCACGAGTCTGTATTAATATTTTGGTTTATTTTTTTGGTTACTATCTTCAAAATTATTAAAAATTATATATATTTATAGAAATTTTCATTTATATAAGAGAATTTAATATATAATATATAATTTATTTTATTTTTATTTTTTAAATTTTAAAACTATTATGTAAAATAATAACAATGACACCTATCGAATTATCCAACTTTGACGTACATATACATTTGATTTAGAGAAATATAATCTTGCTAAGATTTTGATATTATTTTCTGTTTTCCATAAAATTTCTATAGTTCTATTTTTCTTGAAGGTTTATGTGTTCAAATATTTAGTTTTTTTTATTGAAAATCTTATTGATGTTGTGTACCACTGTATATATAATCCATGATTCATGTTGATTCACATTTAATTTTGTTAGGAAGTTGTAATGATCATGCAAAACTATTTTTTCTTTCTCCATCATGTCTTCCAAATGTTTTGTGTTATATTTTTATTCAGTTTTTATTGTTTTAATTGTTAAATCGAGTTGTTTTAGCTTTTTTAAAATTAATAATTGATAATTGTTACTTTTTTATATACATGTATTGTTAATTGTTAATATATTTGTTAACTTTAAAATTTTTAAACTATATTAACATTTTCTGATTTAATAAATATGTTGATTTGAATCAATTAGATTACTTATTTTGTTGGACATAATTTGTTAAATTAACTTTTAATGTTTTAATTATACTTAATAATTTTTGGTTTGATTTAAAAGATTATGTGGACCAATTAAATCAAGTTTTTATGTCCTGTTGGACATAATTTGTTAAATTAACTTTTAATATTTTAATTATACTTAATAATTTTTGGTTTGATTTCAAAGCTGATGTGGACCAATTAAATCAAGTTTTTCCATCCTAATCATTCTAAATATTTTTTTATTTAATGAATATGCTGATGTGGACTAATCAGATCGAGTTTTTTAATCCTATGTAGACACGCCTTCAATGCACTACACCATCAACTTTTATATATTATAGATGACTAGAGATGTTTCCGCGCAATATTTGATTATTAGTTAAAGTAAATTATTTTAATATTAAATTAATATTTTAAATTTAATATTTGATTTACAATATTTTGACTTGGTTATACATTGAAATATTTTTAAAATATTTGAAAAATGTATTATGATTTAATTTAAAAATTTACTAACTTGTTATATGTGAAAATTAACTGTTAATCAAAAACTTAATATTTCTATATAAACTCGTACAACAAATTTTAAAAAATTATTAGAATTAATTTTTTTTTAACTAAATTTGATATATAATTGAATTCAACAACTATAAGTTTTCTCTTTATTTAATTTAAACTATTTTTTTTATTTTTTTCATTTCAAAATAAAAAAAAAATAACTTATCAAACATATGATTACATCTGAAGCACCTGATTATTGTTCCAATTAATTTGGATTTCTATTCATTTCAATTGTGTACGTGTAATTTTTTGTTTTTCATTAGCAATCTACAATACAAAACAACAGTCAATGTTTAAATCTCTTACAAATCCTTAAAAGAAATATTATTCATATAAATGACAAAAATATTTACATAGTATATAAAATCACAATCATATTGATAAACTGAAATTTTGATTTGATCACTAATAACATCTGTAAACTATAGAAATGTAGACGAATAAAATAAGTAATACATATACAAATACAACTTTATACTAACTCATTCTATTAAACAATGTATGTCGAGTTTCTCAAAATTCAAAAGGTGTAAAAGATTCATTTGTATTTGGCTTGTAATTTAACTTATATTTTTCTTACACCACACATATATTTTGATGAGTCTTTATATTTAAATTAATAATATATATCATATTATTTTAAAAAGAGTTTCCAAACTCAAAAAAAAATCATATTACTTTTTCTTACATGTTCAGTTTGTAAGAAATTTCTTTTTTTTGTTGATGTGGATGGTTAATGATGTTTTTATGATATTTTTATTTTACATAAAAAGGTATATACTATTTTTAAATATAGGAATGTAATATATTAATATTTAAAATAGCATTATGCTTGTATATTTTTCTGTAAATATATTGCAAATATATTTTTGTAATAATTAATGTATTAATAAAGTCTTATAAGTTTATCTTTGTAGAGATAATAAACAATTTTGTGTCTACATATGTAAAATACAGTTGTGTTAATTTCAATGAAAAAATTATTAAATTAAAAAAAAGTTATTTAATTTTGTATATACTATGTATGTTTCTAAAAGACGAATGTTTTAGATTTTTCTAAATTGTGAATGTTTTCAATTTTTTTTAGAAATTACATTTTTGTAACTTTGTCTCTATTAACTATTATTTAAGTTTTTTGGGAGCAATTTGTTTTCTAAAATATTCTATGAGTTTTTCAAAAAAACTAAAATGAAAGTTTTTTATTATTGTATGGACGAACTTCAAATTTTATAATATTATATTTTATTAATTTTTAGTTTAAACATGTGATTATTATAATTTAAATGTGAGAATTTAAAATATTAAACAAATAACTTATTTTTTATATTTAAATTAAGTTATATGTCATATCTTTTTGTTATTATAGTATATACAATTTAATTAATATTTAAGAATTACTATTATTATTGATTAAATATCATTTAGTTTTAAGCATATTATAAATATATCAAAGAATTATTTTATCAGAAGTCTGACGTGGAATAACTCTTTATTTCATTTAGTATAGATATATTTATTATCATGACTCCTGCTTCCTGGTACGTGTGGTGATATACAATAATTCACTTATCATTTTCTTAATAGTTCGTGGATAGTTCGTGAGGCTATATGATTTGAACTTAAAAAAATACCAATACATAAACATTTTTGGTCACCATAACGTGGAATCGCTAAGACATTGGATATTATCTAAATTTATTATCATGACTCCTGCTTCCTGGTACGTGTGGCGATATACAATAATTTATCATTTTCTTAATAGTTTGTGGATAGTTCGTGAGGCTATATATAATTTGAACTTCAAAACAATACCAATTGTTTAACAAAAAATCACTGATAGATTTAAGTGATTAATAATTGTGAGTTTTAGAAATAAAATTTTTATTAAAAAGTTTAAAGGTGAAACGATTACAAGAGATGGTGTAACCTAAATATTATGCTGAAGTAAAAGAATGTAATGAAAGTTTAAACTAAAAGGCTTCGAGTTTTTAGTTATTGTTTTGCTGCTCTAGAATGTATCAGTTGTTCTGTTTGCTATTCGAGATCTTCTATTTATATGGGTAGGAGGTTGGCTATGGCGAGCTCCTTTTTTTTTTCTCCTTCGGGATAATTTTCTTATTTCGGATATCAAAATATCTTTTTCTTTCTGATTTAGTGGCGATTTTCCATTATCTTTGAATATTCTTTTTGCATTCAAATCGGCGCAAGAATCCTTGTCTTGATGGACTTGAATATTGTTAGAGAAAATCTTTTTAGAAAATGTGCTTATTTCCCCTCCAACAGTAAGTCCCCCCAGTTCGTCGAGGTGATTTGCAAATTAGCTCGGTGGACTTCATGAAGCGAATTGGTTTGATCTCACAATAAGCATTAGTTCGTCAAGAGCGTTCCTTTGGGATGGCCAGCTCAGCCTGTTTTTGTACAGATACAACATGTGGCGTTTTAGTAATAGTAATGGGTTTTAATGCACAGCCCATTATGCTTTAGGGTTTAGTTCCAAGCAGGAAAGGCAAAGGTCTCTGACACGGGAACCGAAGTTCGATTAAAGCATTTCTTTATCAAACCGTCGAGTGTTTATCTCTCAATTTTGATCTCTGCTTTTCTCCCCTTGTTCTTTTTTAGAGAGAATCTTCAATTTTCAGATATCTTTTTGGCATTTGCTTTGAATTTCTTTCGCGGAGATGGGATTAAGGAAAAGAAGCAGAATTCTTCTGGTCGAAATTGATATCCCAGAATGTTCTCCGGCTAAGAAGCCTCGAATTACGACTCTGCCCAGAGATCAGCCGCCCTATGAGAATATCCTATCGATTAATCCTGCTGTCGATGTCAC